GAGGGAAGTTCGCATGTCGAGTCCTTACTTTCCCTATAGGGCAGGTTCGTAACTCGAATTGTTCGCAAGTCGGGTTGTTCGTAAGTCGAGACCCCACTGTATTGCTAGCGGTTAAGAACGAGGAGGCCCTTGGTATTTCTGGACTCTGTGCCCAGTTAGTATGTATGTATTGCACCCTATGATGAAATAAAGCTTGCTGACATTATTTTTTACCTAGTGCAATCCCATACAATAGGTTTTTTTTTCTAGTTGTGGCATGAAGGTGTTTTGGTTTTGGGTGTGCCCTGGTAGTTTCTTCATGTGAATCATTTCTGGGGGGGGGGAGTTGTCAAAAAGGAGAGGTTGAGTGAAGAAGAAGAGCCACGTTGTGTCAGACAAGCCTTGTCCAGCTCTCTGTTCACACAGTGGACAACTGGAATGCCCTCACAACAGTGGGGAAATGCAGCCATGCTCTTCCCTCCATCTCATATTCCTCAGCAACTGGGATATAGAGAGGCACCCTGTCTCTGATGCTGGAGGTGATATTTAGCTTCCCTGACTTGCCACCATGGATGGCCTTAACCTAAGTGTGGGCTTGGGTGTGAGAGTCAGGGCAGACCTAAACATTGCACCAAAAGGGATGTCGTCTTACGACTCGGCATTGTTTTCCCTCAGGGTACACCCCCTATGCAGTGACGCATGCCTCCGACTACTTTGACCAGCTGTACACCTGGGCTGTGGATCTCATCCGCCGGTGAGGAGGGATGATTGCTTCGGGGGGGGGGATCCAATCCTGTTTCTCCCTGTATTTTCCCAGGGTGTCCCTTGCTCCAGTCTTGGGTACATGTTCTGAGAATGTCTGCCTGTGACACATCTGACTGCCTTCCTGTCTAGAAGCATACGACCCGTGGCCTTATGGCTGATGCTTCCTTTCCTTTCCCCAGGGGCCATGCTTACGTCTGCCACCAGAAGGTAGAAGAAATTAAAGGACACAACCCGCCCCTTTCCCCGTGGCGAGACCGGCCAGTTGAGGAGTCACTCATGCTGTTTGAGGTACTGCCATTTTGTGTGAACCACCCAGGGGGTGACTCTTTCTGCTGGAAAAAGCTGGATTTTCCTCCCTGGAAGATTTCTGTCTTTATAAGACTTCCAGACAGTCCTTGCTGTGCTTAGAGCTGGTGTCTTCTTCACATTTGTGGAATTTAGCATTCTCCACTTGTTTTTCTTTAAAACAAAAAGCTCCTGGTCCTTGTGGTTGCACCTCTAATAAACGATGAAAGCTCAGAAAAGTTGTAGGAATGCAGCTCAAGCAATGCATTTATATTGTGAAAACAAAATAAAAATACAAAATTAAAAAAAAAAGACAAAAACCTAATGGCACCTTAAAGACGAACTCTTATATTTGCACAGATTCTTTGCTCTTGTGGTCATCTGTCGTCTGGGATAATTCACACACTGTAGCAACTGATTACAAAGAAAAGCTTGTAGGGGGCTTGTAGGGGGATAAGTTCATCAACGACTGTAAATAGCACATTTAACTAAAATTCATGTTACTCTACCATTGTTATGTTCCCATTGTTAATTTATGACAAAGGTTCTCACATTCTTTATAGCACAGTCTTCTGCTACAGACCTGAATGTTGAAGAGAATGTTTAACACCCACTGACTTTCTTGCCAATCAACCACAATCCCTGTATTTTGTTATCTATACCTGGATCCCATGTATGAATATTTGCCATCTTATTTCTCCTTCTCTTATGTCTGATGAAGTGGACTTGCCCACAAAAGCTCACATTAAAAAAATTTAAAAATTAGTCTTTAAGGTACCACTACATTTTTGTCTTTTTTAAAATTTTGTTTTCCCCTATAATGCTTGCACAGACTAACACAGCTACCCCTTCCACAGCTAGCATTATAGGGTGTGCTCTTTATCGTTTGGATATTGTCCCTTGAATTCATCTCAGTCCTTTTCCTCTTCCATTTCTTTCCTTCTCTCTGCCCCTTGTTCCTTACTCTGAAGAGCCAGATTCTTTGAAGGAAGCTAAATGGGAAAGCAAAATTAATTCATGTAAAATAATACACGGTTCAGAGTATATTGACCATCAGTTAGTGTGTCTGTGGCGTGGGTGGGTGTGGATGGATTTGGTGTGCGAAATATATACATCTGCTTGTAATACATGGATAAGGAACCTCCAGATATTTGAGACCACAATTCCTGTGAATCCTTACCATTGTCCAAATTGGCTGGGGCTTCTGGGAGTTGAAGTACAAACATCTGGAAGGGCCAAGGTCCCCCACCCCCAGCTGTCATGAGTCTAACTGAGAAAGAAGTCAAGACAGTAATAGAGGCCAGATTCCTCACCCCACAACCCTCTTTTCCATCCAGCTGGCCTAAAGTTCTGGCCTGACGTGCAAGTCTTGTCTCCACAGGACATGCGCAAAGGGAAGTTTGAGGAGGGGGAGGCCACATTGCGCATGAAGCTGGTGATGGAGGATGGAAAGATGGATCCTGTTGCTTATCGCATTAAATACACAGCGCACCACCGCACTGGAGATAAATGGTACGTAGGTTGAGATCACTGGTATGACGGCTAGCTTACAAGGTGGGATTATGTTGAGGGCTTTGAATGTGGGAAAAATGATTTGTCAGCGGGAGGGGAAAGGCTGGTTTCAGCCTGAAGTGGCTGGTGGTTCTGGAGATTTTAGCTTTTGGGTGTCTCTGATGTTGCAGGTGTATCTACCCCACTTATGACTACACGCATTGCCTGTGTGACTCTATAGAGAACATCACTCACTCACTCTGCACCAAAGAATTTCAGGCCAGGTGAGAGACAATGTGGTTGCCCAACATGGTTGTCCTTGGCTTGCGAAAAGGGGGGGGCACATGGCTATGATATATAAGAGAGGACTTTGTTAGGGAATTCTGGTCCCCTCCTTGGATTCGAACTCCTATCAGCCCCAGTCCACACAGTAACGGAAGAGATAAGTCATAGTCTACCAACATCTGGAGAGGAGGTCTTCCACCCCTGCTCTTCCTCAATAATGTCACATATATGGTTGGATATTTAGGACACTAAGATGTTTATTAGTCTTGAGTTAACTATGCCAAGAAGATCTGTTCTATGTATCAAATTCGTTATTCTGAGAATTCTGGTTTTCACCTCTAACCAAAGGTGAGCCTCTAGCCTTCATTGTTAAGAGCAGAAAGCCCCTGGCTTCGTCCTTCCCTCCTTTACTGCTGCCCCAAAAATGTATCTACTGGAAAACACATGTTGTAAAACCGGCACATATTTGGCAAAACTGACCATAATCACATAGGTTTTATCGCCTATTGGCTGGAATCAGGTGTCTTTGACAAACGCTGTTGCCCTTTTTTCCCCCCCTTCCGATAGACGTTCTTCATATTTCTGGCTGTGCAATGCCCTGGACATATACTGCCCTGTGCAGTGGGAGTACGGGCGCCTCAACCTCCTCTATACCGTGGTCTCCAAACGGAAGATCATCCGCCTGGTAGAAGCCGGGGCTGTTAGGTGAGGGGAAGGCTTGGCGCTGGGGTTTGGCTGGAAGGAGGGCTGAGCAGAGGTGAGCTGGAGCAAAGCATGGTGGCCGGCAACTCACTGGTGCCGTTGCCATTCCAGGGACTGGGACGACCCACGGCTTTTCACGCTGACAGCTCTAAGGCGCCGAGGTTTTCCTCCAGAGGCAATCAACAACTTCTGCGCTCGGGTAAGCACACATAACTGGCAGGATTTGGGAGGACACCACCAGCAGAACGGGAGGATGCCTACGTCGGGTAGGGTAGGATGAGGCTACAGAGTTAGGCCCTGCTCCAGATTCTTGGTGCTCCGACACTATTGTTGTTTTGGGCAATGCCTGGAAAAGTTTCAGTTCCCGAAAGTCTGTAGGCTTGGGGGATCCCGGGAGCCGCAGTCTATATAAAAACATAACCTTTTCCGTTACTGGTTTATTGCATGGCCAGCGAGATGCACTAGTAGCGTATCTTTTGTAAAGATGTCACCACTAGGGTGTGCTAGAATTGATGGCTTCAAGACATGGATGGGCAATCTGCAGCCTCCTTCCAAAAGCCCTCTGGGAGTGACTGCTGGAAAAGAATAATTTGCCCTGCTTGGCCGTCTCGGTGAATGGGGGAGAAAGAAGGGGGAGAAGAGAGAAAGGGAGATGCCCAGAGAGACGGAGAGAGAAAGAGTGAGTCACCCTGTTGAGTTTCAACCCCATCTCACACACTATCGAACAGAATGAGGCCCTTCAGAGGCAAGATTCTCCCAGGCCTTTAAAAAATTCAAATCAAATCTGAAGGGGGGGTTTCCTGCCTTCTTGGGACCATCAAAACAGCCCATGTGGGTTGCCCAATCTCTCTCTCTCTCTTTGCTGTACACCCTTCTGATAGTGGAGATGATAGACAGCTCTAGTAATTAGGAGCCGTGGTTCACCCGGTCATCCGGGAGCCGATGTTTCTGCACGATGGCTGTGGCCTCTCTTTCACTGACTGCCTCGTTCCCAACAGGTGGGCGTCACGGTGTCCCAGTCCACCACAGAGCCTCACCTGTTGGAAGCTTGCGTACGCGAAGTGCTGAACGAACAGGCGCCTCGTGCCATGGCTGTGCTGGAGCCCCTGAGACTGACCATTACTAATTTCCCTGCACCGCACAAAGTAAGTCTTTAGGGAACGGTGGGGAGGGGAGATGGGCAGGTATCCTTGACCGCCTCTTGGCCCTTCAGTCTCTCCATGAAACAATGCACCAATGCATGTTTGTTTATTCTTCCAGGTCATGGAAGTGCTTGTGCCCAATTTCCCTGCAGATGAGACCAAAGGCTTCCATAAAGTCCCCTTCCAACCAACCGTCTATATTGAGCAGAGCGACTTCCGGGAGGTGAGCCCAGGGGGCAGGGGGAGAGCTCGGGCGTCAAAAGCCTGGTGGGTCTGCTGGACATAGGATTGGCACGGGGAACAGCGGCAGAATGGGGAGGTTGATTGATTGGCAGGCTCATCTAGCTCTCTCTCTCCTCTCTCTCTCTCTCTCTCTCTGTGCGTGTGTGTGTGTGGAGTTGCAGCAAAATGAGGCTGTGAGACCTTAAGTAGTTGCCAGCTTGCCATACTGTATTCAGGTGCAGGACTCCTGAAGTGGGTAAAGCCCCCTCTCTTTCTTGCTAGCCAGTATGGCTGGCTCCCTCTCCGTTCTCGTCTTGACCGGGGGTTCTTGGTTCTCTTTCTCTGACATCCCACAAATCCTTCTGTCAAAGAACTTGGGTGCCAGCCTGGAAAACAAGGAAGGAGCCCACTTTTCCTAAGAAGGATACTGTAAATGTTTACAAGCATGCTGTTACCGTATTTACCATTTATGGTAGGTTCTGAGGGCAGAAAAAAAGTGCAAACAAAAATAGTCGTTTCTGTTGGTCTGCTTTCAGGAGGAGCGTGACTCCTTGGAGAGGAAGGTTGTTTTTTTTTCACCCTGTCTTTAGAACCTGGACCTGATTAAGGAGTGTCTTTACCAGATAATAAAGAGATTCCCGCAGACTGAGGGAGAGTGAATTCTTAATATCTATGATGAAAGCCCTGCATCTCTGCTTCTACACACCTGCAGGGGTGCACATAGTCATGAATGGCTAGTAGTCATGAAGGGTGGAAGCTGTAGGTCCAAGCTCATCCTGGGAGCCGTAGGTTCTTCACCTCTGCTCTAATTTCTGTGTAGGTGATCGTTTTAAGATAAGAATCACAGGCTTGCCCATTGTTCGTAGAGATGTGTTTCTCTGCTCTAGCAGCAGTTCTTTCTATTCCCTTTTGCCAATGCATATAATGTTGGCTTTTTTTTCCCCGGAGAAGGGTCCTGCCTGCAGTGCAGATGAATTCACTTCTTTTGGATGGAAGGTTGGCCCCTGTCACTTGCCACGTCATTGAATCTGGCTGTGGCTTTTCCAGCGATATTGGAAATGCACCCTTTGGCCACTTCTGTTGGCCATGGGCCAGGGCAACAGAAACAGCCTCTGCTACATGACAGGATGCTGCTAAATAGACCATCCTGGCTCCTTCCATGCAAGAAATCCTTACCTTTCTAATTGGAATTATAGAGGGAGCCAACAGTCAAACAAGCCCTGCCCAGATAGACTTCCTATCAGTTTTCTTGCCAAAACTACGACAGGATTGTTAGGAAAATCCAGATCTATGTTTTGCAGGTACATACTTCTAACAGATTTGTCATCGGTTCTCAGTTTTGGTATGTGCCTGACTCATAAAATCAGAATGCTATTCTTGATTGGTCCAGTAATACTATATGTGAGATACAAGACACATAACTGTACTAATCTTACCCTTGTAAGATTTATACCCCCATAACACATATATAGTAGATTGTATTAAGTATGCTGACACATTATTTATGTATGTATTTATTTATTATAAAAGAGGCACACTCATCCTTTAGATTTTGGGTTTCTCTCTTAGTGGGATCCTTGTCCCTCTCCTCTTATCTTCTTCCTCAAAAGAAATCGCAATATAGACCAGCCCTTCACAATCTGATGCTCTCCAGATACAGACTGCATTACGTGCACTTCCCGACCAGCAAGGACTCTGATTGTGCTGGCAGGGCTCCCTTTCTTCTAAAATTACATATTACGACTCTATTGTACATACTGGCCAATATCCTCTTCCATAGCTCTATTACTGTAGCACAGCAGAAGTTACATCGCCAGCAGTAGTAGGTCGACTCTAATTAATTTGATTGCAGGTGGTGTGTGGCTTTGTCTCCTTGTGTCCAGCGTAAAAATTAAGCGGTTAGCAGCAGTCTGCTGCCGCCAATGATGTCTCTCCTGCTAAGCTAGCAGAGCTACGGAGCGCAGACACTTGTGCCTTGTTGTACCTGGACACCAGGCAGCTCTGAAAGCATATTAATCAGCTCATTCCCTTGGGCAGCTTTTATCAGGAGCCCTAACTTTTCCCTCTTCCAGCTATAGGTGGACCCTGAACAGAATCTGTTCTTTCAGAATTTTGTGACTATTTCTTCCTAGGTCAGGGGTGGGCAAAGTCTGGTCTTCATGGAGCTGCAAACACCTATGATCCCTCACCATGGCTTTTGTGGGCTAGGAGGGCTGATAGATGCTGCAGTCCAACAACAGAGGCATGCTTGGCTGAGCCAGGAGTGCCCAGTGGCTTATTTTTTCTAGCTCAGGGACTGGCCAGAGAGGGAGATACATTGCATCTCCCAGGGTTCATAAAAGCAGATAATCTAATATTACTGTTGTTGTTGTTGCTGTTGCTGTTGCTGTTGCACACTGGCTTATTTTTTCTAGCTCAGGGACCATTGAGAGGGCCAGAGAGGGAGATACATTGCACCTCCCTAGGTTCATAAAAGCAGCTAATCTAATATTACTGTTGTTGTTGTTGCTGTTGCTGTTGCTGTTGCTGTTGTTGTTAATGTACTGTCTGGTGAGTTCTGACTTATGGCAACCCCTTTCAGGGTTTTTCCAGATAGTGAACACCCAGAAATGGTTTATCATTCCCTTCTGACGAGGGCTTGCCCAAGGCCACACAGGCTGGCTCTTCTCCCAGGAAGTCCACTGGGGAATCAAAGCACCAAACTCTGGTCCCCCAGCTAGACACATAAACCACGGAGCTATCCAGCTAGCTTAATATAATAAATATAGTTTTAAAATATACGGTATAAATATATACATAATACAGTTCATGCATAGTACAGTACAGTATATAAATGCCTGTGTGACAGCAGAATAAGAAAATTAATAAATTGGTCCCTTCTTTTTGGACTTCATTGGAATTCTTATCTCTTCTATGCCAGGTTCCGGATAAAGGTTACAAGCGCTTGGCTCCTGGACAGCCGGTGGGTTTGAGGCATACAGGCTATGTCATTGCTGTCCAAAACATTATTAAGGTGAGTGTGTTGTGCTGTTTCCTGCCTGACTGCTCCCTTTCCTGTTGTCCTTGTGATCTTCCTATGCTGCTGGACTACAATTCCCATCGGCCTCAGCCAACATGGCCAATGTTTATTTATTTATTTAAAATATTTTTAACCCACAATTATCCTTAGAAGGACCCAAGACAGCTTACATCATTGAAAATCAATATTTAAAGCTAAAAACAATGAGGATACAATAGTGGCTTAGGGCAGAAAGCAACTGTAGCTTGATAACATCTGGAGCAGAGATGGGAACAACTCACCATTTTGGCGAGTTGTCCCACTTCATGAGTTGTCAAAAGCTGATTACACACGAAGCATGAAGTTGCCCCCATGAAGCAACGAATAACAAATATATTCGTTGATTTGTGTGGGGGGATTTATTTTTTAAAAAAACACACACACACCGCTGTTGACATCCCCTTACCGTAATCATCACCACTGCTGCTGAGGTATCCATCAGGCGTCCACAGCTCCAGTGTGCAAAAAGAAAAACTGGCTGCCCTTTGCAAATATGGCGGCTGTAGCTTCCCTACCCTAAATGAAGCCACAGCTGCCATCTTTGCAAAGGGCAGGCAGTTTCCCTTTTTACACGCCGTAGCTGCGGAGGCCTGACGGAGACCTCAGCAGCGGTGGTGACGATTACGGTAAGGGGGTGTCAGTGGGAATGAAGGGGTAGGCTGTGGCGGTGGCTGGCTGGCTGCCTATCGGCTCACTGATCAGCTGATTGGTGGCCGGTAGGCACAATGGTGTTTTTTTAAATTACGAAGGGATGAAAACAGGGAAATAGTCATCCCTTTGTATTCATGAGAGCCGGTAGGCACAGTGGTGTTTTTTTTTAATTACGAAGGGATGAAAATGGGGAAATAGTCATCCCTTTGTATTCATGAGGGTCTCTGGAACCCACGAATATGAAGGGATAAATATTTAACGGGTTAGCGATTTTCCACAAATATCATGATCTACTTTTTTATTCATCCCCATATCTAATCTGGAGCACTACATCTTCCCGATATCTGCTGCTAGAACTATCTATAAAAGGAAAATTCAATGGTAGTTCTTAGTTTTCATTAGCTGGATAGGTTTTTTTAGCCACTAAACTTAAAGTTCCTTGAACCAGCCTAAACTGTGCTCAGTCTTTTCCCCAATTCCCTGTCCCCCTAAGTGTTTTCTGCCTGAATTCACGAACAAGCAGTGAAATCTACTGTGTTTTATTTTTGAAGATTTGCACTCTCTTTCAGATGGCTTCCAGTAAGAGGGGAGAAAAGTAGGACCCAAACGCTCACAAGCCCCCCCACCATAAACCAGTTCTGTAGTGGCCTGCTTCCACCAATCTGTAAAGCTAGTTGGTCCCCCTTGCATAGGCAAGACGTTCCCACCAGGTCCAGTTACCAACCTTGGGTGCCCAGATGTTCTTGGACTAAAGCTCCCAGACGCCTTCACCACTAGCTGTACCAGCCAGGATTCCTGCAAACAACCATCCCAAAACATGTAGGTAACCAAGGTTGGGTACCCCTGTACTAAGAGGATGCTTTCCTCAGTCATTGTGTGACTAACCACTGGATTATCTTCCCCAACATTCTACTCCCATGTCACGTGTGCTAGCTATACAGTGGTGCCTCGCTTAACGAGCGCACTGTTTAACGACGAATCCGCATAGTGATGCGTTTTTGCGATCGCTAATGCGATCACATTGCGATGTTTTAGGTGGCAAAACATCGCATTGCGATGATCGGTAAGCGTTTCGCTTACCGATCTTTGCATTGCGATGTTTAGAAAACAGCTGATCGGCGGTTCCAAAATGGCCGCCGGGTCAACAAAATGGCCGTCCGCAGGTTTTCGCGCCAATTCCTCGCTTAACGAGGCGGCGAAAATGGCGGCCCTATGGAGGATTCCCGCTTAGCGGTGAGTTTTTCCCCAATAGGAACGCATTAAACGGAGTTTAATGCGTTCCTATGGGTTCCCCCCCCCGCATAGCGACAAATCCAGATAGCGACGTTAATCCTGGAACGGATTAACGTCGCTATGCGGGGCACCACAGTTACCAACCTTGGGTGCCCAGATGTTCTTGGACTAAAGCTCCCAGACGCCTTCACCACTAGCTGTACCAGCCAGGATTCCTGCAAACCACCATCCAAAAACATCTGGGGAACCAAGGTTGGGGAACCGCCATCCAAAAACATCTGGGGATGGGAACCACTGTACTAAGAGGATGCTTTCCTCAGTCATCGTGTGACTAACCACTGGATTATCTTCCCCAACATTCTACTCCCATGTCACGTGTGCTAGCTATACAGTGGTGCCTCTCTATGCACCCCAGCATCCTTTCAACTAGCTAAAGAAAAGTACACAAATCTTGCATGGACGCCAAAGGGACTCTGGCCATGATCTCGTCGCTATGCGGGGCACCACTGTATATTTTATTCTTTCAAGGTAGGGTCTTGGAAAAGGAAGGGGATTTGGATGGTCCTTGTTCAGTTGCACAAACAGCTTACATGAGATGATGAAAATCCTACTGGTATTTGTGTGAAGCCTGTTTAATTTGATATGGCTAATGACAGCTAAAGAGAAAATAAAGCATTGCTGGGGTGCCAAGCCATGTTTCAGTTATGAACCTCATTATTGCACCTAACTGTACTACTAAGCCACACCCCAGCATCCTTTCAACTAACTAAAGAAAATTACACAAATGTTACATGGACGCCAAAGGGACTCTGGCCATGATCTCTCAGGGAACAGCAGGGCCTTCTCAGTGGTGGCATCTCTGAATTAAACCCAACTCTGTTTATTTCTTCAGGTTCCCTGCCTTTAGAAGAAGGGGAAAGAAAGCATGGTAAAATAGAATGTTTGCAAGCTGATCATTTTGCAAACAAAATGACCAGATGAAAGAGGAATATGAGACGAGAAGGAAGTTTCTTGACTTCTCTGGAATTGGCTAGTTAATAAGTAAAATAATGATTGCAAGAAACATATAGAGATATAGAGATGAAATGACAGTATTTTATTTATAAAGATTATTTGGGGGTGGGGAGAGAAACTGTGATGCCTGGATAGTGGTCCTGGGAAGTCAAAGAGACTGAGTGCCCACAGGAGGGCTAACCTTCACATCTATGCCTAAGGATGCCAGCGGACATGTACAAGAGCTTGAGGTGACCTGCACAAAGTCGGAGGCAGCGGAGAAACCCAAGGCCTTTATCCACTGGGTGTCAGATCCTCTCGTGTGTGAAGTTCGACAGTATGAGCGGCTGTGAGTATTAGCTTTATCGCTGAAAAAAATATCTTTGCGGAATGTTCTAGAATGGTTGTTAAAACCCACAAAGGCCCTGTCACTGGACTGGGTGTCCGCTGGTTCACTTTCACAGACAGGGAAACCTTAGTTAGGATCTTGGCTTTTGAAGATGATTTTAATGCTCCCTCCTTGGTCTCTAGGAGGATTTGTGTTGAATCAAGGGAGTCCTTGAGGTATCACAATCCCAGGCCGCTGAGGGCTGGAAATGTTCAAGCTATCGCTTTGGATTGAGTTAGGATGCGGACTTGGAACCAATGCAGCTGCTCAAAAAATGGACATGTTGTTAAGAACGGAGCGAAACTCTGATGCTGCAGGCACAGTTGTTTACCCCCAACCAAAAACGCAAGGTGTCTCCACTGCTTCTATGTACCTAAAAAAAATGGACATGTTGTGTAAGAATGGAGCGAAACTCTGATGCTGCAGGCGCAGTTGTTTACTCCCAACCAAAAACACAAGGTGTCTCCACTGCTTCTATGTACCTAGCGGGAATATACTGTACCACCATTGTTTCATTTGTCCTGCTGCAGAAAGTTGATCTTCTCCCTGGGTAACATTTCCTTTCTTGCTTCCTGACACTGAAGAACTTGCACGAAAACGTTGGGATGCCCAGTTTGCTTTACTCCGTTGAGTCACTTGATCCAGATGGGTCAGCTCGACGCCATGATTTTAGGTACCATCTAGCCAAGGAAGAGCGAGTGCCTTGGCTAGGTGCCCAGAGATTTCCAGAGGGCTGCTGCGCTTCAAACATAAGGATGCCCCAGGCCAGCCTGTCCTGTAGAAACTTCTTATCTTCCATTCCAGGAGTCCAGTCCTAAATATGACAACTCTCTGACTTGCAGGTTCCTGCACAAGAATCCTGAAGACCCCACGGAAGTGCCAGGGGGCTTCCTGAGTGATGTCAACCCTGTGAGTTCTGGGCCCACAGAAGGCTTCTGTGCCTTTGCTTAGGGTGGACCAATATAGGGAGGTGGACGGATCCTGGGAGGACAATGGCACCATGGTGGGGGTGGGGGGTGAGAGAGTACAAGGTGCAGTAAAGTAAGATTTCTACGTTTTTCACACATAAAATTCTGTGTTTAGAGAAGAGAGATGTGAACACATAACATATCGGGTCGATACAAATAGTAAAGATATTACCAAGGAAATTGTCAAAAATGCATCTTCTACTATCAGAAAAGAAAGACGATGCTGTCTTTTGCTGGGGATGCCTCCTGGTTAGCCAACACCTGGTTGGGAGAGACGTGTCGTGATCCATATAAGCATACTGGCATCCAAGTCTCTGCTACTTTTAAAAGTGGTTCTGTTCACAAGCCAGCTGTATGAATATTGCCGAAACCAACAGCTAAAAGAATGCATGAGCTAAGATTTCCCAAGTTACATATTTTAATCAGTGGGGATGTATAGCCAATCCCTGAGGAAAATACCCATTGCCCTATTTGAATACCGACTCGCCTTTCTCTTCCGCTCCAGGACTCCCTCCATGTGGTTGAAGAGGCTTTGGTGGACAGATCTGTGTGCGGGGCTAAGCCGTTTGCAAAATTCCAGTTTGAGCGGCTTGGCTATTTCTCAGTAGATCCTGACAGCACGGAGGCGAAGGTGAGTTCCATAAAGATGCAAGAGAGCTTAGCAGGGATTTTCCTGTCAGGTCTTAAGGGCAGGTAGGGAGGGATGGGTCAGCCTTAAAAAAGGGGGAGGTGACGCTACCACCAGCAGTGGAGGGTGGTGGTGGTAAGGAGATAAGGACCCCCTGAACAATGTGGATGGCAAAACAGCTCTTCCCAAAGGTCTTTTCTTCTTCTGCAGCTTGTCTTCAACCAGACTGTGACCCTGAAGGAGGATCCTGGGAAGGCATGAGGACGTTTCCATGGTGATTTCTGGTCACATACAGAGTTGCTCAGGAGTCACTTCCCCCCCTTCTCCTGCATGGCCGGGGGGTGGGGGAGATGGTGACGTGCAGCCCCAGCACAGTGATTGCTGCCGAGCCACAGTGGCCTTAACATGCATCCTGGATCCTGACTCATCCCATCAATAAAAAGGGAGACTCCAGAAATTTTTTTCCTGTGTCTTGGGAATGGGATGGGTGATCGGGCTATGAGGGGAGGACTACTTTGGCTTTACCTCACTTGTGTGGATGGACATAATATCAAAACAGTAAGTCTACGGACAGAGATCTATTAATGGAAGCCTGGAACTTGCGTATTTTTAACTTCTCTCTCTCTTTGGTAACCAGTTTTTATACTGCAAATAGCCGCTTCAAAGGATGTCACTGTCCTTGAATGTCACTGTGGGTGAGAACTGGGCCTCTTTTCCTCATGAGTTTCCTTTTTATTTATTTATTTTATGGATATACTGTATATGCCAGCTTGCCGGTGACAAATTTCCCTATAATGTAATTTAAACAGTTAAAAACACCAACATTGAAAATATGAAATGCAAATGATTTTTTTTAAAGAAACAACCAGTACCAGCACTAATAGAGTAGTAGCTGTTAAAATTCTTTACCAACAGAGTGGTCACCATCAACAAAAGATTGTTTCCATTAAAAGGATATTTAAACGTACCAGCTCAAAGAACCATTTAAAAGCCCTCAATAAGGGAGCTAGATGCACTTAGGACCTCCACAGTCATGGGGGGGTCATTACAGTAAAGTCCCTTGTGTCATGCACGTTCCAGTCTGCTGTTGTGATGGGCTAATTAGCTCAATTTTTTTAGCACTGTTCTTCCATGGGTGAACAACTACCAGAGGCCTGGGGCAGGAGACACCCATCTCTGGAAGACAGAGGGCCATACCAGCAACTGTTTCCATCACCCACCTCTCCTCTCATCAACAATTTGTAAGACTTTTATCTTTCAAAAATGAACCTTATTACAGAAAAAGCTGTGCCCTCTAGTGGTCAAAAATTATTATTTTCATTAGAAAGGTATTTTAAGAGAGGTAGCAAAAATACAGAAGGACAAAGTGACTTTTGACCAAAAAGGATGTGTTTTTTTTTAATTAGAATTTTTGGGAGTGTGTGCATTTCCTAGGGGGCTGCAGTTATGGGCTAGCATTTTGCCTGTGCTTTAAGTACAGAAAATGACTAGGCCTCTTTAGTCCCCAAAACAAGAGACACCTAACATTGTCAATTTGGAGGTCAGGTGCCCTTCTGATCCTGTGGTGCTCTGAACAAGCAATTGAAACAGCAGAAGGAGCTTTGCGCAGTTCAATTCCTTCAGTACTAAGAGGCGATGCGGCAGCTATTGTCAAATATTTAAAGCGCTGTCATGTGAAAGCTGGAAGCTTATTTTCGCAAGGGTCATAACGGAAGACCTCAAGTAATGGATTCAAATTACAGGTATGAAGATATTTGCCTAAACATTAGAAAACATTTACAGTGGTGCCTCGCATTACAATCGCTTCGTTTAACGAAAAAATCGCATTACAATGAACTTTTTGTGATCGCTTTTGCGATCACAAAACGATGTTTCCTATGGGAGAATTTCGCTTTGCAATGATTGGTTCCCTGCTTCAGGAACGGATTCTTCGCAAAACAACGATTTTCCAACAGCTGATTGGCGGTTTCAAAATGGCCGCCAGATAAATAAAATGGCTCCCTGCTGTGTTTAGGGACGGATTCCTCGCATGACAGGCAGCAAAAATGGCCGCCCTGGGGAGGATCTTTGCCAGACGGTGAGTTTTAAGCCCCTTGGAATGCATTAAACAGGTTTTAATGCGTTTCTATGGGCTTTTTAATTTCGCTTTATGATGTTTTAGTTCTACAGCGATTTCGCTGGAACGAATTAACATCGTAATGCGAGGCACCACTGTATTGACAGTAAGTGCTGTTTGGCAGTCTGAAAGTGATGCACTCTCCTTCATTTGAAGATTTAAAACGGAGGTCAAATGGAGTCTTGCCGTGGGTACTTCAGCGGTGGGTGTCCTGCTTTGGCAGGGGGTTGGACTCGATGACCTTTGTGCTCCCCTCTAGCTCTACAGTTCTATGATTCATCATTTTATTTTATCTCTCAGACTGGTATCCCCTGCCCATCTCTTCCAAGTAGTGTTACATAATTATTTTCTCCATTCTGTCTTAAGGACTGGCTGTACTATTAGGCATAACAAGTCAAAGATCTCCAGTAGCTTGCTTTGGGTTTGATGATGAAATGGAAGCAAATCCCTGTTTAAAATGTTACTATAGTATTAGTTTGTCTTCAAGGAGGTCAGATATTTCTAGGGCTTTCTGCCCTAGCCACAAAAACAGAGAACAATGTGTTGTGCGGTGTATAGGGCATTGGCTGCTCTGTATTGGATAGGAACTGGACCAGACTACATCTTAATGACCCTGTGAGGTATACTGTGAAGGATTCCCAAATTTGCAGCACCTCCAGTGTCTCAGCAATGTCAGTCACAACATCAGGGGTTGGCTTGCTCATCCTCTAATGGGATTTATGCCACCTTCTGCCCCTCTTAGCACTGTTCTTCCATACAGTATCTATAAGAAGAACCTATCTCCATGGGTCAAACAGGACAAAAGAATAAAGGGCACAAAGCTGACATCAGGAATGGCAACACAGAGAAACTGATTTCAGAAGACTTCAGTCTCTCTGCGTACTTTGTTATGGATCTGAAAGTGGACATGGTAGCAAAGAAGGAATTACGAAGGGAGACTCAAGAGGGAGATAGCAGAAATTGGCTATAGAAAGAAGTTCCAGTGCATCTCGAAGGATTCTAAATAGAGGTCACGCCTTTTTTTCACACTGAATATATTATTAACCTAGCTTTCTGTAATAATTTATGAGTAATAAAAAATAGTTGTCTCCTGTGACAAACTCTGACCTCTGTCCCATAAACAAGTTTTTCCATTCCTGTGACAGCCAGGCCTACCTAGCTTTACCTCCCGGCGAGGATCTGCTGATCAACAGTGTCTTGGTCCCCTTCTTGTGTTAACCAGCCACTGCCATTTATTGGCCTCCTCATCCGAACATGAATCTCACCCCCATGGAATACATGTAGGGAACTGGTGTTTATGTTCCCCGTGTCTGAAGAAGTGGGTTTTGATCCATGAAAGCTGACACTGCAATAAGTCAACAACCTTTACAATGGCACAATATTTTGCCTTTTGTTTTTTCTTTCCCCAACCCTGTGAGCAGGTCAGTTTGAGCCAGAGAGAGAGAGAGAGACTCTGCAAGTTAAATCAATGCATGCATAACCATAATAATGCATATACTGTACATATATCAAATATATGGAAAATCTCTTTCATCTGAGCAGTTCTGGGTTCCCCAAGCCCCACTTGCTACCCTGCCCACATCTAATACCAAAAAGTCCAACAGCTGCAGCAGCAATTGCGTATCAAAGGCTAAGTGAATTTTTCCTTCTCCCTCGGAGCAAGCAGACTGGAGAGCAGGATGCAATCTTCATTTGCTCGCCACTTCTTGCATGCGTGACCGGCTGTTGCATCAGACTGGCTTGCCGGCTGAAAGGACGCAGGACTAACCTTTGGCCTTCGAGGCGTCCCGATCTGTGCCCGGCGCGTGTTTCCCTCAACTTGCGCCGCATCCTCCACGCCTTTGCCCTCCTCCGCTCGCCTAAGAGAGGCTGAAATTCGGGTCACTGCACCTTTAAAGTCCTGCACATTTTCTGCTGTGTACAAACACCAAGGTCTGGTCGCAAACTTAGGAACGCGGGGCCCTTTTTAAGGTGGACTGGAAAGGGCTGCTCGAAACCTGCGTGGCCGCTCTGTGCCCTCTTGCTCCCCTACCGGGAGCTGGACCATCCTTGGGATCCAGAGCAAAACCTCCATGGGACGCAGCCGGTGCCCGCGTTGGAGGACGGGAAGGGCAGATCGGCGGCGTGAGATGAGGCCGCGGGGGGGGGGCGCGCGTCCCTGACTGGTGATTTAGTGGCCCATGCCACCTTAAGGAGCGATTGTTGGTGCCGTGGAGTGGGAGGTTGTCAGCAAGCACATGGGGATATTAAAGCAGCCTGCGCGTCTCCTAGACTGAGCGAGCCTTGTCCCGGGGGCGCGCAGGATGGGAAGAGGCCGGGGCCGTCGGAAGCCCTTGCAGGCACGCTGCTGGATGTCGCCTCGTCACCGTCTGGCGCTAAGGGGACAAGACCTTAAGGGAACCATGCAAGTGTCGTCCGTCCCCCCCCACCCCCGCTCAGCACTTGTGTGCTGGGGGAGGCCCGGCAGGTTAGGAGGGCAAAGAAGCCTCCGAAAGGCAAGCAGGGCAGGACGCTGCTGTGCCTGCCACAGAGCAGGGCATGAGGCCTTGCTGTTTAGGGAGCCGGTCCTGCTTACTGTGTTTTCAGTAGTGCATTCATTGCACCATTGGACTGTGTGTGTTCACAGCCCTGTGAGGTTGGCTCCCACCGTTGTTTTCCTTTTATACACAGGGACAGTAGGATGCTAGCAGTAGAAGAAGAAATACAGTACAGTGTGTCCCTTGGCCTTAGGCTTGTATCCTCCTTTAATTTTATCTATTTCTGTTTTTCATATTTTTATGAAAGAGGGCAAGGAAGGAAGAGGATTTAATCCTAACCAGGGAATGTGAAGAGTCATCTCAGCGACTGCATCATTTATCTTTGGTAACAGAAAGTCACACTGGGTCATCCTTATTAATTTCTCTGTGGTGACTTCAGTCCTCTTATGGGATCAATGAGCCATGTGGTTTGAGCTTACAAATTGTGTTATTCTTTCAAAACAAACAACAAACCTGCAATGTACTTAAGACCACACTTTTCCGTGAGAAGTGAGCTTGTAAGAGACTTGCTTTCTTGCAGTTCATTGGTAAAATCTTTTGAGATGTTAATGAATTGTTTTAAAAAACATAGGTAAAGCTGAAATTTCTAGTCTTTGGTACCAACTGGTAAAATCCTCTAAGGTGAAAGAAACAATAAATAGTAAAAACTGCTCAATTCACCGGTCCATTTGTGCTGTAATGTGGGGCTAAGTTTGCCATCAAGGAGAACAAGAGATGTTCTTGGTTTTAAAAAGAATGTATGTTCTAACTTCCCTTTTGTGATGTGAGATTTTCTTTTGAGACAAATATTTACTAGCATTCAGGTCTTGCAATCCCCAATGCAGATCATCCTTTTCTTTATTATAATTTACCACCATGTATCTGGATATCAGTAGTGTTTATCTCTAGATCTGTTAGTGGAAGTTTTGAAGTCTAGAAAGAATTTACAAGTTTTGGATACCAGAGGCTATTGAAAATGGAGCTCTTTAATTCATACAATTGTGAAGTAACAAGTGTGAACCTGAGTATAGTGATAATTCTCAGTGTCCTTTATTTTTCAATTTTCTTTCATTCAGTACTGCTGCAGAGAGCAGGTGTTAATTTTCTTTGCTGCTTTGTCTCATATATGTAATGTTTTAAAAGTATTTGTAGTTGTGAAAGCCATTTATATTTCCCCTTGTACTTAAGCTAACCCAAAATCCCGTTGCTGATATATATTTGCCTGAGATAAATTGTGTACCCCAGGAACATAATTAGCATCTCATCGATAAGTAGCTATCTGTTGCAAACTTATCTTATTTTCCTTATATAAGCATAAATTAGCAATAGGATTCTGGCCAATGTTTCTTGGAGAATGAATAATCAACCTTTCTACTATGACAATAATTTTCTAAACATTTATTTGATTTATTTATTTGATTTTTATACCGCTCATCTGGCTACCCAGGCTACTCTGGGAGGTTTGCAAGTTACAATAATACAACACAATAAGACAGAAATAATCAATTGCAATTTATAATTGTAAACATTGCAGGTATCAGATTTGTATTCATTCTTTCCTTCAAAAATGGAACTCGACAGTGACATATCAGTTTGGTTATGCCAGCTGAAATTAAGGAACTGTGTCCCCAAAATAAAAAGTGTATTTCCGTAGCTTCTAACACTTTCCTTACAGAGCCAGGGTGCTTTTAATTTGTGTTAGCAGCACTTTCCCTGTTTGTTGGCCTTTGGAAGATGGGGAGCATTTATATACAGTATACTATAAACAAAGTGTCAAAAGGTCTTCAGAGGTAATTTCGCTTGATGCAAGCTGCTGATTAGATGTTACTTTGTAGTAAAAAGATCTACAACTGCTGGTAGTTTCCCTCAGATGAATTATAAGTCATCTATAACCAAAGCAGGACTATTTCATTGCAAACCTTAACATGCATATGCATGTTTCTCATGGAGATAGTATGTGGGTATTTAATATTTTATCCATTCCAACATGTGACAGTTTAGGTCTGTGCCAGGATATGGCTTCACCATAACTTGATAAATAACAATGGGAGAATAGCTTGGGGAGATATTCCCACCTGCATATAGCTTATCCAGATAGAAAGGAGTAAAAATACAGTATATTTTATAAAATAGTTTTTTTCCCCTGCTCTTTTATTTAAGTAACCTAATGGGGAAAACTTTCCATACTGCTTTGTGACTACCCATATAGTTGTGGCACTACCCAGCTCAGGGGTAGGGAACCAGTGACTTTACTATTGGGACTACATCTCTGCACAGTGGCCACATTGAGAAAACTATAGTTCAGCAACATCTGGAGAGCCACAGTTTTCCTCACCTGCTCCTATTGTTTTGGCTAGGAACTCTGGTATAAGTTTAAGGTGCCACAAGTTTCTGTTTTGAAATGTGGTATTCTCAGTGGGAGGTGAGAATACCACTCTGTCCAAGTGTTTTAACTTCCTTGGACAAAGTGCGAGGAGGCAGATCCTAACTGCTGCTCTAAGCTAGAGGATAGATGTCCCAAAATTAATATCCTTAACTCCTCCGGATCTTTACATTGCATGGTAGCATAAACCCGAAAGCACTAGAGTTCCCTGCGTGCAAATACTATTGTTCCTTTGTAAAACTTTTGCTGGGGGACGACGACTTTTTTTTAATCTTTGGGGTAATTAGAAAGATTACAGAAAGAAAAAAATAGTTTAAAAACAATGCCACAGAGAACAATAGGGGAAGAAGGCACGGTCGGGGGGTGGGCGCATATGTAAGGCCACAACATTTTTCCTCTCAGGAAAAACACCAAAAT